AACGTCGTAGGCATTTAAAAACCTAAAAAATTTTTTTGATCCTTCAGATTCGGATTCGGATTTGTCGGATACGGATATGGATACAGATTCAGATACGGATACGGATTCGGATTCGGATTTTCGGATTCAGATTCAGATTCAGATTTGTCGGATTCGGATCGAATCGGATTCGGATCGAATCGGATTCGGATTTTTCGGATTCAGATCAAATCGGATTTTACCTAAATCCGATCCGATCCGATCTGTGCGGAACACTAGGTATGCAATAGGCAAAATACTAACCTTATTATATTTTTATATTTTGTGTTGCTATTAGTGGCGAAGTAGAAAATAAACATCGAAAAGTGCAACTGGATTTGTCAAAGAATCCTGATGATCGAAAGTCTATCGGATGGTTTCACGATGGTATACTTACGATCGATATTAATGGAATTGAAGTATGTGTAGGGATTTTAGAAGTTGCCGGAAATGCTGTTGTAACTGATCATACTAAATTTCTGGGGGATCAGAAGAAAATGTTAAAGGCAATGTGTTTGACTTTTCATGAACTTTATATAATGACGGAATTGCTGATAAAAAAGGCGAAAATATAGCTGACAGTTTAGAAATATTCAGAATTTTAGTGGATAGTAAGTCAAATTTTATTGTGTAATTTTTATTACTAAACCTTTTTAAGCTACATTTTTTTTTATAGAAAAAGATTTCTGTTTCTACACTATGCACCATTATAATGGAGCATATTTGGTAGATGAAATATACATTTCTTTATCATACCCGATACACCTATACAATTGTGTATGGTAAAGGAGATTATAGTAAGATTGTTAACATTTAGAGTAAGTTGTTAGTTGGTAATATTATTATTAATGGATGTTTCCTAACCATGATCTTTTATGAGTAGGATCGAGTTGAGAAATTAAACGCCTGAATTAAGGAACTTTCAAGCATTAGAATAACACAACGACTACGGCGAATAACAACTGCGGTTAATGCGACACCAAAAAATGATTTGTGTTATATGCACAAAAGTGAAGCTATTCTGAATCTGGTTACCTCATGTGATATATTATTCTAATCAATAATGTTGCGAGAATAAATCTACATAATAAATAATGGGATTTTCTACATTACAAAAAAGAATACATGTGTAAGTGAATGCAATTCTAGTCTTATTATGATACATGTCTTTTACATGCTTAAAGACGCCAAGAGATGCAATATCAAATACATCCACTATGTATAAACAGATGGATAAGCCACGTTCATTGATCCCCCCTTTGCCATAAAAGCCTGTTGTATTAATGGACGGTCTCAAAAGATACTCCATGCAATGTAGTGCAAGTGCGCCTAGGTTCATTATGAATACTGGGCTTCTGTGCGAGCGAAGTAAAAATGCAAGGGAAATAGACTTAGCCGTTAAGGCGCTTCGCAATGTCTTTCGATTGAATATTAATATTATTTATCTCAACTATATTTAGCCAAATGAACTATACATAACATATTCATGATACCCAAAATAATAATTTATTTTTGCTGAGGAACTGGCCATGATACCTGGCCAGGCATCTGAAAATATTATATCTGATTTAGCCGATCCATGACGTCAGGAAAAAATGGATCAATCTATATATTTATACACAGCTGTCTTGAATAAAAATGAATTTGAATTTAGTGGTGTGTAGTCTCTTAAATTGGCTATAAATTGATTATGATATTATCTAGTATATGTTGATAGCCATTAAGGAATCGATATAACACACTAAAATTGCTATAATTCGCTAAAACGATATAAATCACTAAGATTAGTTATAAACTATAAAAATGGTTAAAACTAACTATTCTGGTTTAAATAATGTAGTAGTGCAGGTATTAAACAATCTGCAATATAGATATAGTGGTGAAATACCAGAAATGTGGTGTTCCCGTATTTGTTATCTATTTAAGATACTTCTTGAAAATAACCCAAAATACTTTTCTAAGAATGGATTTATCCAGATGATTGAAAGATCTTATAAAGATGGGAAATTTAAAGCTGGGGATGCTCATTTCATATTTATTGCACTGTATGTAACTCCTTGGTGTTTATCTGTGAAAATACTATTGAATATGCAAATAAACATCTAAATGAATGATTTGCTAAAATAGAGGAAAGGCGCAGTAAATCTATACAAAAGAATATGAAAAAAGGAGGAGCACTAAGCTAAAAGAGTGTATCTTCACTCAGTTCTGATGAGATTGAAGAGATTTATCTAGCATATTCGGTTATATATAGTAAAGGTTTAGCTCATTATAATTATAATTATTCACACGAAGGTAGGAAAAGGCATGTAAATTGTTTAATCAATAGTGCAAAAGTTATCCAATGAGCTTGGAGAGCTTACAAGTTGAAACCTGAGACATAGGCAAAATGAGTTTAGAATATAGTGAGAAATGATGATACTCCTGATAAGGAGAAAATTTTATGTATAACTCCTCGCAAAATAAGACTTCCTGATGATCAGTATATATACTATAATCAGATGAAATATAATTATGAAGATAGAATTCAAGTTAAAGACGTATCTGAACATGATTAGCATTTTCTTGTATTATATAATCATTATGATCCACAAAGCTGAGCAAAAAAGAAGAAATATCAGTTATGAGAACAATTACTTATTGTGATATACATAGTTGTTTTTATAGAATTACATCTGAAATGTTATAAAATCATCGAATATTCAGATTGGTCTTATATATTAAAGTGGCTATTGAATCCTGAAGATTACCGTATTAATAAATACTATAATAATAGCAATATAAACTTCATTAAAGTTCAGAATATGCACGATATGAGATATGTAAATCACATTGTAGAATGGATCCATGTAATTCGCTAGAAATTGACTATTATAAATCTGAATATTTCACTATTAAGAGAAAACTTAATAGTATAGATTTCTTAGATTTGAAAAATAATTGTGAGTATGTGTAATGAGTTTTCTGAGCTATAGATTCTTTACCAAAATAGTATATTACATATTTATTATATAAATTAATCCTTTTTTTTGTATAGATCACCTACTGAATGTATCACTTATGAAGGAGAAATAAAACGTGATTTTGACCAGAGAACCCAGCTGAAATTTGCCAAAAAAAGGAAAGACTATCTCTTACAGATCGACTCAGGCAATCAAGAGAAGAAAAATGTATTATATTAGCTCCATATTTACCTGCGTCTTACTAATGTATATAAGGTATGTATAACAAAAATAAACATGTTTCTGATCCTTATTAAAATATATATGATATAATAGTGATATATTACTAATCATCTGTGCAAGTGCGACTATCTGCTTGTGCAACAAAATAATTTCACACATAAATTGACCCTTTTCAAAAATATTTCGAATTTTTTCCCTTGCAATGTTTTAGAAAAATAGTATATTATATGCTCCAGAGAGACAGGCTATTTTTACCCTCCTTCAGTTATAGACTTATAGAAGATAATTTATTCTAATAATAGCATATCCAGGTAGTATATGAGAAAAAAGAGTAAACAGCCGAAAAATTCTTATATGCATTACCCCAGTACCTTTCTAAATGTCAAGATCTTCAATGCATATTTCACATATCCTTATTCTCTAACATAAAATTTTAGCGTGAAAGTATCTTACATATTCTTCTACTCTAACCCTGATATGAACACAGGTTCAGAGAAAACATGAATAGAGAAATTGCAACGTATTTAAAAGGATAGTATATGAAATTTAGGATTATATTTGCTTATTTTTACCAAGCTTTGTACTAAAAAAAACTCTTATATTTTAAATTAACAAATATGTCTAGTTCATCAGCTGAAATCTTCACTCTATTATACAACTTTAAAAACTTTTTCTTTAAATAAAATAACTACTTTTAGTATAATTACACAACAATGGAATTGTTTCAAAATTCAATCAGCAAATGAAGACTTTGATTGTCTTATAGATATCTTAAAGAATATGGAGAATAAAGTTAATGATAGAAAATGCAAATAACATCTTAAATCATTCCAGAATATTAACCAAGTAATTTACATTATTTTATTCTTTACATAATAGAAATAATATGATAAATATGTTGTCTAGATATTAATAAGTGTAATGCGATTGAAAAAGTGACATATTGTCAGCGAGAATCTCTTTCATTACATTTATGATGATTTTAAGATGATAATGCCAGCTAATTCTGATTAGAATAAAATTTTGCATAAAAAAAATAATGATGTTTTTCTGAATTTTATTAATCCATCTATTTATTTTTAGATGTAATTTATTAGAAATGAGCTAGTTTCATTAAAAGACATGGGGTTCTTACAAGGAAAATTTGAAGAAAAAGTAAATTGGAAAACTGTAGCATAACACTTTTGAAAGATAAAATCAAGGTAATCGATATATTAATTTTGTCTCAGAAATTTTGGTCACATGTTTTTTGAACTTTCTCATAAAACTAAATATTTTTCAATTAAAAGAAAGATACGCCAGCACTGAACATATTCTTACAATAATAAGTAATATTAATATTATGGGTCAGTGCAAAAACATTTGTACCTCGTCAAATAAGATAAAGATTTGCGCCAAGAAAAATATGGTACGACTATAATAATGGT